TGTGTGTGTGTGAGTGTGTGTGTGAGTGTGTGTGTGAGAGAGTGTGTGTGTGTGTGAGAGAGTGTGTGTGTCTGTGTGTGTGTGAGTGTGTGTGTGTGTGTGTGTGTGTGTGTAGTGCGCATACTACCTCACAAAGTGCAGCTGTGACCCCTGCGGTCAGTGTCTGGGCTGCTCTGGGCTGCCATCTTGTCATTGCCTTTCCTCTTGAGGTGGTCATGTCTCCTAGCTCTGTTTGTTGGGTAGTTTTGTTTCATAGCCTGGACACTGTGGGTCTCATGCTGCACAGACTCTGGTCCTGTCCTATCTTCTGGAGAACGCTGAAGCGTGGTTGGGGCAGCCACGTCACCTGAGTTCCATCACCTCTGTGGTGGTGGCTCAAACTCCAGATCAGTTCTCAGAGCTTTGCTGGGCTGTTGGTCCCACCAGGGGCTAGCCTGGGTCCTACTCAGAACCTGGCGATCATCCTGTCTGGCTCTCTCCCTCCCAGGACCGCCAATCCTTTTCCTGCTGCTTCTGGCCAGGAAGATGGGGCTCYGTCCTAATATTCTCCCCTGGTGCTGTGACCTAGATGGGGCTCCCCCTGCAGCAAAGCCACAAGCAGAAGACACCCCCCTCTGGCTCCTGCAGGGTCCCTGGTGGAGAGCTCCATGAGCCACAGAGCGAGTGTGGCCCTCGGCTCTGTGCCAGGCAGGAGGCAGTGCCCAGCCTGGGAGCTGGGAGGGCCGTGAGCAGCTGGGCTCTGGCTGGGCTCTGACTGTGCTGTCCTCTGTCAGGTGGGGGAGGCTGGGGCTGGAYGCCAGGCCAGGGAGAGCAAGACACATGAGCCACACGTCAACACCACGGCTTCCTCCTGTGCTGCCGTGCGGTGCCGCCCTCAGGTGCAGGGGAAGGGGGCTGCTGGCCCACTGCATCCTGGACGGTGGCGAGGAGGGCACCTCCCTCAGGACCAGGTCCCTGCCATGGTCACAGGAGATGTGCCAGTGGAGGCACAGCTGGCGGGGGCTTGGTGGGGGTGGACCGGGCCCGTCTAGCGTGGCTGAGCCCCGCCTCAGCAGCAAAGTCCTTGTCAGACCCAAGTCTCCTCCACGCTCCAACCCAGAGGGATGATGGATGGYGGAGCCGATGAGCTCAGAGTCGGCGCAGGCAGTCTGGCCGGACGGCGGTGGGTGACTCAACCCGGAGGGAGAGACGGGAACCGGAGGCACCCTGCCCACATCCGCCATCAGCACCGGCAGGAAGGCTTTCGAGCACTGTGACAGCTTAATGGCCTTTGGTTAAAATATCCACGGATGTGCTGGTCAGGGAGAGGCTCTGAGCGGCACTGGCTCTGTGCTGGCCACCCCAGCCCAGCCTGCTGGGCCAAGACGGGAGATGAAGTGGCCATCCGTCCCAGTGCCTCAGCTCCAGCGCCTGCCCAGCCCTCAGGGGACAGCGGGCATCCTGGGTAGGGGAGCATCAAGTCAGGCAGCGGTGCTCCACCCGACCTCCCCTCCGCCTGTTCACAGAGCTGCCCGTCTTCCCACGGGACCCCCAGGACTGAGCAGAAGGCACTGGGAAGCACAGGGCAGCCAGAGCAGGGCTTGGGGCCCACCCTGCGCTCACGTTGCCACGTCCTCCCAGAAGCTGCATCCCTGGGTTTGGGGAGAAAGGCTGGGGCATGTCCCAAAGGGACCAGAGCAGGACAAGTAGCCCGGGGCCAGGCTTCCTAAGGGGTGAGAGACTGCGGGGAGGACAGAGCACAACGCGGGGTCTTCAGCCCCGTCGGCGGAGGCTACTGCTTGTCCCTGGGTACCTACCCCAGCTCCTCACATCTGAGCTCAGGGCCTGAGCCTCCAGCTCTGTCCTGTCACCAGAGCTCCCAGGGGCAGCTCCAGTGTCCTCCCAGGGGGTGGGCAGGCCACCACCACTTCCCTGATGAGGACCTCGAGGCCTGGAGTGGAGCAGCCCTACCCAGGGCCCTGCACACCTGTGTGCACACCTGTGTGCACACCTGCCCATCAAGCAGCCCTCTGGGTTGAGCATGCCCACCTCAGGGCTAGGGACTCACAGGCCACTTGATCAGGCAGCGGGGCTCCACCTGGCCTGCCCTCCGCCTGTTCACAGAGCTGCCCACATCTGAGCTCAGGGCCTGAGCTCTGCGTGATGGGTGGACACRGACCATCACTGTAGCTTTGATGTTGAGACTGCCTGGGCAGGAAGAGCTGACCCTGAGCCTGGCCCTCCTGAGAGACAGGGCCTGGCCTGAGGAGAGTCCCGCTACAGGACAGGGAGGTGTGCCCTGGGGACGGCCCCTGGCAGGTCCTGGGACAGGAGAGGAGAAGCCTTCCTGGGGTCTTGGCATCAGGCTCTGGCTTGGTCGAATGCGAGGGAAGAGGGGGGTTTCTCAAAAATTCCCAGGACTTTAGGGATATGGGAGTTTGACATGGATGGACAGCTGTGAGGGGCTGGCCCCAGGCCCAGACTGCATGGCCCTAGGCGTGGGTGGGAGTCCCTTCCTGACCAGAGACGGGTAGGAAGCCCGGCCTTTCTTGGGGGAGGGGTATTCTGCAGCCCCCAGGGCACGTCATCAACCTCAGATACCAAGGAAAGTTCTGCACCAGAAGGTTCCAGGGTCCAGTCGGGGAGCGAGTGCATCCAGGGGCAGCAGGGAGCAGCTGAGGCCAGGCTGGCGTCCACCTCCACCAAAGGGCCRACTGAGCTGCTTCAGAGGACGCTTGCCTGGCAAAGGTCACCATGAAGTGCTAGGACACAGGCCAAAGCCCAGTGGCCTCAGACCTACTGAGATAGGCCCGAATGTGCCAGAACCCGCCCACCCTGCCCCGAGGCCTGTACCCTGCACGTGGCTCCGGTTACATGCACAAGAAGCAGCAGGCCCGGGCTATCCGAGGACTCGGTGGCTTCATCAGGAGGGTTTGGGTCATCTGTGGGCGTCTCCTGATGTCAGCACTTCACTGGCTGGGACCTCAGCTGGGTCTGCGGCTGGGCTCTCCTGGCCCTCACGTGGACGGGCTTCCTCAGCAGCATCCAGGACGGGGAGCGGAGCCCCCGACTCAAGACGGGCCAYGCGGTACTGCTTCCATCTGTTGCAAAGCCACCGGTTCCAAAAGAGGGAACAGAGGCACCTCTCCCTGGGAGCCTGCGCCCGACAGGGGTCAGCGTGATGGGTGGACATGGACCATCACCGTAGATTTGATGTCGAGACTGCCTGGGCAGGAAGAGCGGACCCCGAGCCTGACCCTCCTGAGCAGGACCCTGGCCCAAGGGAAGGCTCTGGCCTGGAAGCCTCCGCAGTGTCTCGAGTGGCTTCTCCCAGCTGTGCCCCAGCCAGGACCCCAGCCCCTTCCACCCTGCTGTCACAGGCTGGGGACCACAGGGCCACTGTGTCTGTTGCTGTCCAGCTAATATCAAGCCATCTGGTGTGCTCCTTAAATGGCATCCCAGGGAGCAGCCGGCTGTCACCTCCTAAAACAAGCTTCTGATGGATGATAACCGGCCTCACGCAGACGGTGCTCCCAGGGTTCTCTCCCCGATCGCAGATGAGACTCAGAAGGCACTGTCCCTCAGCCCCGGGTGGGGCAGCCTGTGGACCAATCCATCCTCTCTATCGCCTCTCGCCCGGAAGCGACTGCAGCCTGCATCACCACCTCCCGTGCGCGCCCTTCTGAGCGCAGGCTGAGAGCAGCTCCTAGAGCTCAGGAAGACGCCCGCTGGTCACCCGCTCTCAGGCCGTCAGGGCAGAGCTCGACGCCCCGGGCCAGGAGGAGCTGTGTCTGCCACRCCCTGGAGGAGGTGCAGTCCCCGTTTTGCTCGGGGACCCCCGTGATTCAGACGGGCTGGCGGGCCGTGGGTAGCCCAGGTTGGGCACACGGTGCTGGAGGTGGGTGAGAGGCTCCTCCCGCAGGGCTGGGACGCCAGAGGCAGGGCCCCCCAGGTCCAGAGGCCCACAGGAGGGTGCAGAGAGGCAGCATGGAGGCTGTGGCAGGGACCCCGGGGACGGGGTGGAGCTGCCCCAGGACGTAGGCCGGGGCTCCTTGGTCGCCTGGCTGCAGGAGGCCCTCTGTGGACCAGGCCAGCTCCTCCTCAGCAATCCCAGGGCAGAGGATAAAGGGAGCCGGGACACCCAGAAGACCCCCAGGATCAGCAGAGCCCCCAGGGTGGCACCCCCAGGACGAAGGCTCGGGCAGCCCTCCAGGAGGAGGGGCAGCCAGAGGGGCCACTGGCTCTCTAGCTCACCCTTGGGCAGGGCCCAGGGACAGGTCTCAGGGCAAATGGGGCTCTGGTCCCAGCCCTCCGAGCAAGGGGCCTCCTCAGAGGGGCTGCCTCCACAACGGTCCCCCTCATGCAGCCTGGCAAGAGCCGTGAGAGGAGACAGGCCCAACAGGAGGGCTTCCTGGAGGAGGTGACGTCTGAGCTGACCCAGGAGGGAGGAGCAGGGTGTGGGAGCGGTGTGGCCAGAAGGGACACCAGGGGACAGCAGCAGTCCCTGGCAGCATGTCTTTCTCTTTCTGCATCCCTGGGTCAGTGGGGGAGGGGGTGGCCCACCAGCCCCAGACCACGGGTGTCCCGGCAGGGCCAGCTCTTCTCCTGACAGGGACGCAGCACAGCCTTTGCACAGTCACCACTGCAAAATCCTGTTGGCCAACGGGAGTCACGAGCCAAGTGCACGCCGGGGACCAGGACAGAGGCTCTTCCACCAMGAGGTCCCATGTGATGTCCTGCCACAGAGGGCGGGGCCACGGCCAGGAGCGGGGCCAGGGCTGCCTCGTCCTCGCCCCAGTGACTCAGGGAAGCATCCCCCAGCTCCACTGTGGGCTCAGGGGGTCCCACGAGGGGGGTGCTGGGCGTGGAGTCAGGGGCAGTCTTCACCCCTCACTCTGCAGCCTGCTTCCTGGGCGTCAGAGCAGACCCGGGCACGGCACCAGGAACAGCCGCAGGAGGAGGCGCAGCCCCAGCCGAGAGGCCACGGAAGGACCAGGCCTGACTCCCCAGGGACCCCAGGAGGGTGCAGGATGCCCCGGCCAGGCCGAGCACACGCGGGCTCAGCCACCTCCTTCCTGCCTGCCCCCAGGCCCAGCCCCAGCAGCCCCGCCAGCAAGCCTCGTTCCAGTAATCCACACGATGATGCCACATAAAAAGACTGCTTTCCCGGAAAACTGCTGACACTCGGGTCTGGGAAAGAGAGGGCTTACGAGAGACGGGCTTCCAATCCATACGGGGCTCGACGCTCAGACCTTAATCAATCTGCATCCCTCGGAGCTAAAACACTTGTGATTTGTGAGATCCACAAGTCAGATCTCTCTGTGTCCCCCTGTGTCACCAACAGCAAAGAGGAGCGCTCTCCTGACAGCCCCCCGGCCACTTTGAGACCCTCCTAGGGACACGCATGGGGTCCCAGCCCTCACACACTGGCCACAAATGGTACACAGGCCAAGAAGCACCTGCTTCTCCCGAGGGACTGCCAGGGCCACTCTGCCGCCTCTAGGGGACCCTGTCCCTGTGCTCATCGTCCGCATCGCCCAGCGAATCCTCAGGGGCCCTTGCAGGTGAATCCACGACTCGGACAGGCCCTGGCCTGGGCTCTCCGCCCACTCACCAGGAGATAGCAGACCAGCCATCTTCCCAGCTCCGGCGACATGTTTGTGTTGGGGGCTGGGTCAGAAAAGTATAGACAATTCAGCTTCTTCCATTTTAATGCCACAGAGTCAGATTCCTCCTGCAGTCTCCTCCCACCAGGGGGACACCGTCCGACCGTCCGACAGTCCCTCGTTTATGCTACTGTGAGGGAAGGTGAGACGCTGCAGACCTGGACCCACCGGAGGGCAGCGGGAGCCCACGGCTGGGCGAGGTCTTCCCCGGCGTCAGAAGGGAGAAGAGGGACATATTTGACCGCAGTTAAAACATCTGGTGATGAAAGACACCATAAGCCAAAATTAAGACCGAGTGGTCAGCTGGGAGAAGGCGCTTTTGGTATAAATGGCAAAGGGCCAGCAGTGCTGTCGTAAAGCCAAAATTCCTTTAAAAGACAGGCCCACAGCAGAAAAACAGGCATTTTCTTAAACTGTTCCTTGGCCAATAAGCCTATGCCCACCGTTGGGCTTCACGTGAGTCAAGGGATCTTAGATGAGGGGCAGTTTGTCTTCTCTGAAGCTGGCGCATGCTGTTTAAACTGGAAAACCAGTTCTGGCCCCAGAATGGAAGACAGTTCTGCTGGCAGAAGCATAAATTGGCACATCTTTTGGGGGGAGACACCAAAATCTTAATAAAATGAATACGAATCTCTCCTAGGGAGATAAGCCGCTGCACCAAGATCTGCACACAGGCTCGCCATCACACACGGTGCCAAAAGCCGCCGGCCGCAGTCTGCAAAGTCAAGTCCACCACGGTAGGAAGGTACGTGGCCTCGAGGAGTGTCACGGGAGAAGACTTCGTGTAAGGGGTAAAGAGGGGTCGGGAGACAGACGTCCTGTGCGGCAAGAAGGGAGCAGGGATTGCTTGAGCACACGGGCCTGGAAGCCCCCCGCTGGGCCCAGGACTCAGGAGCTTCTAGCTCAAAGCCAAGGGCAGGACAGGCAGCTGGTCAGTCTCTCCCTGGCCTGCGGACTTACTTTTCTGCCCCTGCTGCTTTTGTCCTGGGTGTGACTTCAACTAACTTCTCCTGAATCCTCTTGCAAACCTGTGGGCACCTGGACTTCCTGGCAAACCTGGGGGCCAGGGAGGGCGGCCCCGACAGGTGGGAGAACCAAACCCTCAAAACTGGTCAGAGGGTAGATTCTATGTCACCTGTGCCTTATGATAATAAAACCAAATCAATGTTTTAACAACAAAAACCCAACCAAGACGCCCTCTGCCAGCTGTGTGGGTGGGTGCTGGTCAGCGTGAACTCGGGCAGGGGGAGGCACTGCACCCAGCCCTCCTGCTCACCAGCTGGGTCTCGGGCCCATGCCTCTGATCCAGGAGCCTGTGCAGCCGAGGAAGAGCTGCCGGCTCGGGGGCTTGTTGTGAGGATCAGAATCAGGGTGCATCCAGACAGGACGCCCCTTCTGCCACAGCTGTTAGGGTTCCTTCAAGTCCCGCCCAGCCTCGGGCTTGCAAGACCCCGGCTGCCGAGGGCCACAGTTCTGTTCTGAACCTGGGAGCTCAAGCCGCAGGTGGGAGCTGGGGGACTGCTCAGCTCAGGCTGCTCCTGGGGGACGTGCATCTCACCTGCAAACCAGACCCCGCTAGCCAATGGGGCTGTCACTGTTGGCATACAGAAGCCCCCAGGTGAGGGACAGAACCAGATGGGAACAAGCCTGAAACTCACGGAAGGACCTGGCCCTGTGGGGTCCCAGCCTCGCACGGTGGGCAGAGCACTTTAGGGCAGGTGTGTGAGGCGCCCTGGCTCAAAGCTCCGGGGCTGAGCCAGATGAACTGGGCGTGGGGAGTGGGATGCGGAGGGGCATGAGCTGAGCCCATGGGGGTCGCAGACTCGGCCTTCAGACTTGCATGGATGCAGCTAAGTCTGCAGCTCCCGGCCACCCCTGGGAGCCCACCCCCATGGGCCTGGGTGGGGACAGAATCTGCCTTTGAAACTAGTCCCCATCCCACCCAGAGAGGCCAGGGCAGAAGTCCCAGCTGGGAAGACACGACCCCAGACCCCAGCCTGACTAGTGTCCAGAGGGGACCTGTCCACCAGGCTGCCAGCCTGGGAGCAGGGCCCCAGAGCAACCCCGAGTGGCCAGCCAGTGGGAAGCAGGGAGAGGGACTCAGGCCTATGGCTTCCCCAGGCACTTGAGCACCTGCCACGCCAGGGCCTCCCCAGCCTGGCACCTGGCACCACCCCCACCTACCCAGGGCCTGCAGGAGGTGCCGAGGCCCAGCTCCCCTCCAGGCTAGCCTTCCGGGACCTCAGGGTGCCCAGCCAGGGCTGTGGGGGACACAGCCAATCCGAGACCTCCTGGCTCCTCTGGCTCAGGGGAGTCCCAGTCTCCGGAAGTTTCAGTGCACTCAGCGGGACACCTTGGCATCTCCCTCGGCCTGGCTGGGCTCAGCTGGGGCACTGCCGCCCTCTGCTGGCTCAGAGAGGCACTGCCCCAGGGACTCGGATGAGGGCCCTAACAAGGCTCAGGCTTGACCAGATCCCACAAGGCATGGCCCACAGGCTAGTGACAGGGACTCACAGGGTCCAACACCAGCAGAAAGGGAGTGAGACCCCCTGCAAGGATCAGCCTCTGGGCTCTCTGAGCTGCCGGGGACCCCGTGTTCTCAGGACACAAGTGGAAAACTTCAGACGGCGTTAGCAGAGATGGAGACTCTAGAGTCCAGCTCCTTCATTTTCCAGTGAGGACTGAGGCCTGGAGGAGTCAGGGACCTAGACGAGGGCTGGCTCGAGGCTCTGGAGCTGCCAGCAGTCCACCCCATGCTCACCCCAGGCCCCTGGGGCCACCCTCAGGAGACATGGACCCAGGCCACAGAACACAGTGGGGTGGTGGGCCAGGGATGCACAGGATGCCCCCATGACCCCGACCCCACAGGCCAGCCTGCCAACCCTGGAACCCAAGCTCCTGGCCTTGGTACACCATTTCTCAGCCGCTCAAACAAGGCCGGACGGGAAAGTGTGCCAGTTCTGCCTTCAGGGCCCGTTCTCAGCCTTGGGCTCTGGCTGACCACGAGAGCACCCTGGGGCTTTCAGAAAGGAAGGCCCGGCCTCCTCCGGGGAACACGCTGCCCACTGCTTCTGCATGGAGGCCACTGGGTCAGTTTAACACAGGCTTCAGGGAGTCCTGGGTCCCTGTTGCCGTGCTGACCAGGCGGGCTCACAGAGAGATGAGTCCCCAATGTGTGTCGCAGCTGCTGAATGGCATGCAGCAGAAGCCAGGCCCGAGGACCCACAGCCAGAGCCGGGAGGGAAGCGCCAGGGCTGGATCCTGCTTCCCRTCAGGTTTTCATGTCAGCAGACTGTTTGGGCCAGACTCCAGCATGCTCAGGATGCTGCCCCATCCCGGACCAGAGAGGGTGGGCCGAGTCTCATTTGGTGACGGTGTGAGGCCCACGAGTTCGATGCACACAGAACCAACCAGAGTCAAGAAAAGACTCCTCTAACAGACCCTGAAGGGGCAGCCTCCGCAGCTGACGCACCCGCAGTGGAACAGGCTCCTTCCAAAAGAATGGAAAACTGCTGGGCAGAAATGTTCTGTGTCCATGGCTCCAACTGACCAGGCTACCAGATGCCATCCCTGCAGCAGGGCTGCAGGTGCCCTCTCCCAGGTGGCCATGGAAGATGTTCCTACAGGCGTTCCCAGCGGGGCCCGTGCGGCGCCAGCCACCAGCAGTCAGCTGGGTCTTGTCCTGGTCCCTCCTTGTCCTGGTCCCTCCCTGTCCCGAGCAACCACAAGCTGGCTCTCTGCCCCGCTGGCCTGTGCCCTGGGGCACTGCAGGTGCCTTGCTTTTCCTGGCCCCTCTCTCCTGGGCAGCAGGAATGCATGTCACAAGGCTCAACAGGGCTGGACTGTGCCCTCATTGTTTACAGTGACCATAACGAACTGGGTGGGGCGAGGGCCGGCCCGGTGCTTCACCTTCCATTCTTTCTCTTCTGGACAAGAATATGATCCATGCACAGGAGAATGTTTGCAGCACCCTGGGGTGAACTGGGACGGAGCAGCCAGGGATAGGGAGGGAGGTTCCCGACAAGGAGAGGCGGGGGCAAGGGGAGGACCGGGTGGACCTGCCACAAGGCCACCTGGAGTTCAGCATGGCCGGTCTGGTGAAAGAGAGTTGGGAGCCCTCAGGCGCTCAGTGGAGGGCTTGGGAGTCCTCAGGGGACTGAGGGGTCCCAAGGGTGACCACTGCAACGTCTGCTGTGCTGAGCCCCAGAACCCCCAGGCCAAAGCTCCAGGAACCAAGCCACAGGTGCCTGCCCTGTGCTGGGGACGGAGACCAGGAGCCTGGCCTGCTGGGCCAGTGTTCTACCCCCGAGCCACTCCCGGCCATGGGGGCTTTGGGAGCGAGGAGTGTGAAGGCAGGACTGTACCTCAGGGCAGCGTGGAAGGGCAGGGGCAGACGCGTCGGTGGAAGGGTCCCACCTCACACCGGGAAAGGCCTGATACAGGGAGGACGTCAAACTCACGCTCCCCGTGGGTTCGTGGTCCAGGGGATGAGGGCCTCCTCTCAGTGGCCAGTGACTTCAGAGGAGGCACCCAGTGTCCGTGCCATGGTGGTCACCTGCCACAGACTGGCTGCAGTGGACTGGAAGCTGGACGCGAGGCCCACGCTGCGTGGTCTGCTGGTGTAAATGTGCTGAGCAGGCACACCTGCAGACAGGACCTGGGAGCCGGGTCAGCTCCAGTGGCATGAGGCCACGGCACCCACAGCGAAGGCAGGGACGTCTGTGTGCTCTGGACGCACGCAGGTTTCCTCGACCAAACACACATGTGGAGGAAGGAGAGAAGTGAAGCAAGGAGACCCGGCTGCCTGCCACAAGCCAGCTGAGACAGGGAGCACTGGACCATGCACACCGAGGTGCYGGGAAGCCGCCCGGAGTCCTGGTCCTGCTGAGCGTGACGGCAGCACTGCGTGTTGTTTGGAGAGAGGTGCAGCTCTGCAGGAGGAGCAAGCCCGGATCCGAGTCTGCTCCCTAATAATCTGGGTGGGCAGGGGCTGTGGCAGGCCCTGCACCGACCAGAGCGGACTCCCGCACACTCCTCCACTCGCGACTGCCCAGTGTCTGCATCAGCACAGGCTGGGGCGCAGTGGCGAAAGCCCCGTGGACTGGCCTGGTGTCTGCCGGTCCCAGGAGGCAGCCACCTGGGTCATCTCTGGCTGCATGGCCTGCTTCCGGCTCCTCACGAGGCTGTGAAGACACCTGCCATCATCCTTGCTCTTGAGTGCCAGAGCCACGTCCCTCTGCACAGGACAGTAGAGTGGCCCTGTGTACCGCTGTGGTGTCCTCTCTCTTGGCCCCAGTGGCTCACACAGCTGGCTCCTCCTTGAGGTTCTGCCATCTCTGGAGAGCTGCGGGGAGCAGGAGGCCGGGGGGGGGAGCTGTACGAGGACCAGAAGACGCGGCGCCTGTCCCCAGCTGGGATTTTCCACCTGCCTGCCTGCCCCCATGACTCAGCCCAGCCGGACTGGGGGACAGCCCTGGCCCACCCACTGCAGGAAGAAGGGTGGTGGCTCTGGGCCTTATCACAGGGCCGGACTTTTCCACTGTGACCCAGGGGCCCTCGGGCCTGCTGCTTGCCCAAAATAGACTTCCTGTGGGAGCCCTGTGGCCTGGGCTGAGGGCCAACAGCCCTCCACGTCAGCAACTCACGGGGACCTCTGTGCACCCTCCCCACAGCCCCAGAAGTCGGAGGGACGCAG